GGGGGGGGGGGGGCTGCATGTGACAGTCCTCTACAGATTCCCTATGTTGTCATGTTATCCCCAAGAAATAAGATCTTTCATCCTCTCTGCCTGCACTTATTCATCAGTAAGATTGAAAGAGATCTTGTACATTTACATGTTCTTATATTGTTCATGAAAAGTACATGTAACATCAGTGTAGGTTTTCTGATAGAAGTTGATTGTGTCACCGGAATAATTCTCACTTTGGTCATCATGTTACAAAGGTATGGTGTCAAAGAAACACTGTAGTCTCTTTCCTCTGGAAATTAATATTGTGGTGCAGCATCCATTTTGATATTTTAAATGAAGATTTAAGAATTTTGTGGTTTTATTTTTATTTTAATTGTTTTAATTAAAAAACCTTTACTAATTAAAATTAGGATAAAAAGATTGTTTTAATAGTGGTCAGTTTAATTTTCGGATATATATAACAGGTATCTTACATTTGGGTATCTATTTTTTAGTTTTTGACTTAAAATCATTAACATACAGATAGAGATCAAACAATATCAAACAAATGCCACATTAATTAACATCCTGGAATTGATAAGTTTATATATATTAATCTGAGATTAGTAATCATAAACTTGAACAAGTTGGTAAGTTTCAGTTGTTTCTCAAGTCCATAATTGTCCAATGAATAACAACCTTCCTACCATCCTCTGTACAAGTTTTCACTTCAGGCCAATCACAAATCACTTTGTTCAGTGATGTCACTTCCTGCGCCAGGGTAGGCAGAGCGCAATTTTTCTAGGAAGAGATGTTATTTATTATAAGTTTTTACAAGATACAAATTATCAGTTCAAAATCAGCCAATAGAAAGCCAGTGTACAACATGTCTCCATTTCCTTGACAGTGTACAGGATTGGCGTTGTGTTTTATCTCCTATTTTCATTTTAGATAGTCGTTGCTAATGTCCAAAGACATGCTACATCCTTTATCTTGAATAAAAAAATTACTATCCCGTGTTCAAATATGTAAAAAAAAAAAAATAATAATGGAAGGAATGTATGTTTCTGTACATCTTGTTTAATCCAAGATGTAAAATATAAGTGCCCAGTTAATTCTTAGAGAATGATGGATGGTGAGTACTACAAAATATTATGGAGTCGAGGAGATTTTGTTATAGTATTTTTCTTTTTAATTTTTCTGATTGCCATAGCTATGTTTGTTGTCCATTTAAAGATGCAAGCTTTTCTCGAGAAGAAATTTCCACTTCACTGTGAATTATATCTCTCAACTTGAAGATTTGATCAAAATATTCAGCATTAACCCCACCCTCCCCTAGTGTTAAATTAAAACAGTTTCCAAAGTTAGATAATTTTCATCATCAGTATTTCTTGGATTGAAAACAAAAATTTACTAAGAATTTTCTTTGTTAAAGATGACACAGGAAAAATTTTTTAGTGTTTCAGACTATTAAAACAGATGTTCACAACTAAAGATATGAAAGCTCCCTCTCTCCATCTCTCCAGAGCTTTCAGCCATTTTTAGAACCACAATTGCTGTAGAAAAACCATCAAAATTTGAGATTTTGGAAGGAGGCTTCTACATGAATAATATGTTATAAAAAGATGACAATGAACTTTTGAAGGAAGAGCAAAAATATTAGAATAATCACAACTGACAACTTGTTTTCTTTAAACAATTGAAAATAGGGAAGTTGACACTGGACATTTAAGAAAAATCATTGAAATATGCAATTGCAGTTTATTTAAATCCAGTTTTAACACCAGTAATTTAAACAGTTTAACACACAGTAAATCAGTGGACCAGCCTAATCCATTGAGTGTAAACAAGCAGGTTCATATTTTCCCTGAATGATAAGGTGAGATGAGATAAGATAAGATCAGCTAGTTGTTGTTGTTTACGATGTTCAGTTAGACCATGGCGTGTCCCTAACTGTCCTGTCCACTTGCCTACAGCAAACTGCTGAGGTCAGAAAGAGGCTGAAGGTCAAGGTTACCTTGATATTTTTTTACCTGAACATTTTGCACTAAAAAAACTGATATTTGAATTTTTTTTGGAAAAAATTCTTTTAAATTTCTTTTTTATTTCAAAAAATTGAATAGTTATTTTATATCTGGATGAAACTGATTTTTAAAACTATTTTACAGAGATCTTAATGAGATCCTAAAGACAAAAGTTCTTCAAAAATGCTTGAAAACCATTCTGATTAATTTTTGATACTTTTTTTTAAATCTCAGCTTTACTTTTTCCCATGGAAACAATTCAGTGTATCCTGAAACATTGTTCTAATTCTATTCAGTTTGAACTAATTCTTTTTGATTCTCTGCATCTGGCTCCATCTAGCTTCTGATTATGATCTCAAATAATGCTGTTGTTAAATTTTCAAAGAAGTTAAAATCTTTTAAACATGGCAGTTTAAGTCATTATAGTTACAGATAACAAAACTTTGTTTAAGAAAAAAATTGCAACCTCGGCCTTTTAGGACATTTTTGTGTTTTGAAGTAGGATAAAATATGATGATAGAAACACACTAAACATATGCCATATATAGCACAGTGCATGTTCTTCAAATATTTCTTTCTGCTTTGAGCAGAATGTTATTGCTGAGGTCAAGGTCATTCTTGTCAGCTCCAAACAGCCTTGTTTACGGCGCTCTTGCAAAATGGACACCATTTTGTGCTGTCAGCTTTGAATGAAGTGATAAAAGGACAAGGGTCTTGGTCACGAACAAGAATACATGTCTGAATATATCTTCCGATTAAGGGAGTACATCTTTTGTAGAAAAGATATACCATTGGGTGGAGAATGGGACCACGTGGGCAATTAAGAACTGAAAATGTAAATTTAATGCAGATATTAGGGGAGCTATTCGTGTCCATAGGCAACTAAATTCTTATTTTACCCTTTTTGAAATTTCTGTGTGTATCTTCTGTCTCAGACATCTCATTAATGATGTATTAACCTCAGTCTGTGTTCTTGATTGTGATGGTGTTTAGGATTTCAATGACATGTAAAACATGTTCAACCCTGTACTTTACCTGGAAACATGAAAAATTCACAAAGATAGAGGTATACTGCAAGTTGATTAATACCAAAATCGCATGCTTGCAAATGTCTTTTTTTTTTCAGCTATGTAGGTAGACACCGCCATTTGACCCCACAGTGTCCTGAGCTGGTCCCCACCGCCCACTTTATTGATTAGTTTGTAATTGTGTGTCCAGTCATCTCTTAGATAGAGTATAGTTTCCTGGTGGTTTGTATGGAGAACAGAAGTGGAAGGAAACTGTGCTAAAATGTGATGTTAGTGTTTGTGTGTGTGTGTGTGTGTGTGTGTGTGTGTGTGAGTGCCCTTTAAGGATGNCGCCTTTGCGTGTGAGTGTGTGTATGTGTGTGTGTGTGTGTGTGTGTGCTACTGCCCTTTAAGGATGACCCTTTGGGTGTATGTGTGTGCGTGTGTGTGTGTGTGTGTGTGTGTATGTGTGTGTTAGTGCCCTTTAACGATGACCCTTTGCATGTGTGTGTGTGTGTGTGTGTGTTTGTGTGTGTTAGTGCCCTTTAAGGATGACCCTTTGCGTGTGTGTGTGTGTTTGTGTGTGTGTGTATGTGTGTGTTAGTGCCCTCTAAGGATGACTCTTTGCTTCTGTGACCTGTTAGAACAGAATATCGGTTTTCATACCTGCATTGTGTGTCAATAGAAATAATATCTGATTCAGTCATTTACTGCTGGTTATTGATGCTTTAAATAAAACATGAAGCTTGTTTTTTTATTTTAAACTTTAAAAAAAAGATAAAATGACTTATTTAAATGTGCTGAGTTGTGTATGACAACTGAAAAACTGCAAAATATTCTTTGAACGGATTGATGTCCAATAAGAGACTTAACCAGAATATGGCTGCTAAAGGTGAAAGTGTCAGGTGTCTGGACTGTTGTTCCACACTGTCGGATTAGCAGTCGTAATCAAGAAAGTGAACTGGGGACAGCTTGATCCAGTGATCTCATTACGTCTTTTGTTACATGCAGGGAGTGAGAATATCTCCTCCAAGTTATAGTTCAGCAATGTAGTTCAAAAATAGTTCAAGCAAGGTGACTGAGAAAAAGTAACTTCTAGTGTTTTAGCAAGGTAATACTGAATGTTGACGGTTTTCATGAGTGTAATTGCGTTTATTGTTGGTTGGGGCAATTTGGTTTTCAAACAGGTGTCCGTTACACAATATTTCCACTCTCTGTCTCTATTTAATAATTTGGAAGTTTCTTTTTAAGGGGTAAAGCTGAATTAGTTTTTGGCAGTTCATGCTAAATTTTTCTCAGAAATTTGGTTCCCAAAGAAAAACATTAATTAGCCAAGGATTATCCACATACTAGTTAATAAAGAGATGCTTTTTAACTTTTCCCACTGCTTTTTTTCAACACCATCTCTGTCTGCTTTTTGCCATGCTCTTATAGAGCTCCCCCCTCCCCCCCGAATCCCAAACAGGCACATGTAAACTGTCCCCTCGCCATGTAGATTTTTATGCCTCACAATATGTAGTTGTAGTCCTGACCTCCTGTGTACACCGAGTCCATGGTGAATCACTTTGTGTTAGCCTTCCATTAAGGAAATGACCCACATGTACAAAGTGAATAAATCAGACGTCAAATGGCAGGTTGAATAAAGATCTTAAAAAGAGAGAGACGAACAGTGTAATTACCAGGATACTGAGGACTATCAATGGCCGCCATTCAGCAGACGACTTAAAAGAAACGATTTTGCTGCGGTCTTTTTATGTCCATTTATGAAAAGTTCAGTCATTTTTAAAAAAGAATGAAAAAGCTTAAATTTCTTCAACTGAAAAACCTACGATGTTTTATATATTTAAAAGAAGTATGAAGATTAAAATCAAATTGGGTTTGAAACACTAGCATAGCCTAGAGAGTGGTTGATTTGAAAGGGAAGCAGTACTGTAAACATAAGAATTAAGTTGACCATGTCCAAAACAATATACTGTTAACATATCAAATTAAAGTGACCAGGTCCAATACGATACTGTTAGATATAAGAATTAAGTTGACCATGTCCTATTCATGTAGGAGGATCACTGGGTCTTTTTCAATCCGTTATTATGGTTAATCTGGTTGAGTAGAGCAGTGAAGCTGAAAACCAGATCAGGGCAGATTAACTAGGACAGCATACAGTACCCTTGACCAGGGCAGGCATAATCTGATATGGACAGATATATGTACACAGTCATGTGGTATTGGACAAGATCAAGTATAACCGCCATATTTTATGTTAAGTAGCTACGTCAGGACTGAGGTCAGGCCAGGCCAATGCGCTGTAAAGGCCGAGTTCAGGTAAAGCCGTGAGGTCAGTCTAGGTGATCTGGCATTAGTGGCGTGGATTGGTTCAGTTGTATCAGAGTATTCTGGCCGACAAGACCACTTTTATGCTACACTTGAACCAGCTATGGCTGGACATCTTAGGATTTGACTTAAGTAGATAATCTTATTGTGAAGACTTTGTTCACCAAGAGGACTTCATACTTTGGTTTAGCTGACCTGTGGAGATCATTTTCTCCAGTTTTGATACGTGACCATGTGGTTAATGGACGTTAATGACAACTGTACTGGAGTGGCTAGTCTGGCCAACTGCTTGACCAACTTGGGTAAGTAAGAGAGGGACTGTGTGTGTGTGTGTGTGTGTGTGTGTGTGTTGTTATGACTAACTGGTTAAAAATGTGTTTTAATAATAAGAGATTGAAAAGTGTGGGGACTTTATGATTTAAATTGTAATTGGAAATGGTTCTGACATAACAAGTTCAACTAACATACATAGAGTAACAGGACAAGGGATTAAATCATTATTACAAGGCATGCTTTATATTAATTTTACAAGACGTATTTCTAAAGGTATCCTTTATTACTGTCCTTGAAGCTAACATATAGCAAGGGAACCTATGAGAACAGCTGTTGTTTTTATTTATGGATGAATACTTGTACTTTTGATTTCAACTGTGGTAATTGATGGTGAAAACATAGCGGTAGTAATGGCACGTTAACACAGACCAAGAGGACCATTAACCAAACTGGCTTTACTTCCAGGCATTTTTTCTCTGCATATCTGTTTGTACTGAGAGACTGGCTTCTTCTTTTGTGCAATTTTAGTAGCGTGTGTCGTGTGTATGTGCCGTTAAGACACCTGATGCGGTTATAGTAGTGAGTGTAGTAGGGCATAGTAATACATTGATTAGGAACAAAGAAAGCAAATCTAGAGAGTGGAGGGATTAGATGAAAATGAATGAAAAAACAGAAGTGATTTATATATATAGCATGTTAAGGGAAAGAGTAAAAAAGTTTGTCCTTGAAGATAGTATGACTTATTTGTGCCTAGTTCCATTTTAAACTGAGCACAGAGTGCAGAGGGCAACGTCCAGTTGGACTGGAATTGCCCCCCCCCCCCCCCCCCCAAGGAAGAAGCCCCCAGCGATGGTTTTTATAACCCAGACACAGAGCAGAGACTGGTGCGTGTTCTGAGAATGCCTAGCTCAGGTGTGTTCTCATGTATATATATGTCAACACGTCTGGTTCACTCGTCACTGTAATGTGTGACCTGTCGTGAGGGTGCTGATGAACTGAGGCTTGGATTTCAGAAATCACATGTATTAAATATATGTTAGATAGGCGTATGACAGAGTGCCATTGTATTATTTATATGTTAGGTACCATTTTTTTTTCACATTTGTAGACATGGCACTTATTTGTATGTATCTAAAAAAAAAAAAATATATATATATATATATATATATATATATATATATATATATATATCAGGCCCGCAATTTCAAAAGGGGGTTCTTTTTCTGAAAAAGTGGACCTTTTCCCATAAAAACTCCATGTACCTAGTTCAAATTTAACCCAGAGTGGACCTTTCCCAGCAAAAGGGGCAGTTCTTTCGAACCCCCCCAACCCCCCCTGGCTATGGGCCTGTATATATATGCAAGAGTTGAGAGAGAGAGAGAGAGAGAGAGAGCAAAATTTGTGTTCAAAATAGCTGAACTGGATGAATAAAAATAACAAACAGTATATCAAAAATGAGTTTCTTATGGTCCATGTGTTTTAAACTGTTATTTATGGTTTTAAACGTATATAAATGTGCTCTCCCCAACTGCATAAGGCTGTAGACAGGTCTACAGCAGGGCTCTATGGTTTTGGACTGGGCAGTCTGGGCAGTAATTGGTCTAAATGAGGGGGCGGGGAGAGGTAATGACCCATGACAGATATCACACTGATAAGCCTGGGTTGTTATGTAACTGGACAGCCATCAACTGGACATTACAAACTGGACCTGACAGCTGATGGGGTAGATAGACCAGCAGTAGCTGTGGTCAGGCAATGCTATAGGGGATAAATGTGGAGAGATTGCTGTGTAGAATACTGAAACAACCAGGACAGCACTTGTTGGTGTATCCCATGTGAAGAATAGTTGTTGTTTGATCAGATAAATATAAATTTTTTTGGTTAGAGTATGTTAAGGAAAGATGTGATATGGAATATCTATCCATCTACTAGTAGTCCTTGTGTTGAAGGAAGGGCTTTGGTTGGATGATTTCTGAAATATTCAGTTTTTCAAAATAAATAAATAAAAACATTTGAATTTTAAAACTAAGAACTCATTTTTGATATCATTAATTACAAGAATGCTAAGATCTTATCTACTTGAGTAAACTTATTTTATTATGATGATAATAATAATCTTTATTAAGCAATAAAATGTGTACAAAATGTGATTTTAGTAGTGCCGTATTTGGCATTTTAATACCTGGTGTTAGACAGCATTAATTTAACTGATATTTTTAATATAATTATATTATAAAGCACATTCAAGAGACTCAAAACTTCCCCTCTATCGTTTCCAGCGCTCCCAGACCAGGATGTTTTAGTGTGTGGGGACTGCCATGAAGAGTTCGCACTCAATGACATTTGCAAGTTTATCCAACACAAAGTGAAACGATGTAACAAAGAGAACATAGACCCCTTCTCAGAACCCGGTCCGCCTGGGGGGGAGGATGACGACAGACTGGACCAGTGCATGTCCGTCATAAGTACGGCACGGCGGACCAGTATTTCCGCACCCATAGCGCACAAAGGCTCAATTTCTAGTGATGGAAGAGATCGGTCATCGCCCCGGCCGTCCTTGCTTAGCCAAACGTCAAAGATTGAAGAAGAGGAAGAAGACAATGGTGAATCAGGCCCCAGGGGGGAGAGGTCGCCCTCCCTGGCGTCTTTGCAGCAACCCTTGAGGCCCAAACAAGTGGATGCCGAATCAAACACAACACATACAGGTAAATAGAAGGGGCGGGGAAAAAAGGGTGGGGGAGTAATTTTGATTTGAGTAGACAGAGCTTATACCAGCTTGCAAAAAATATTATTTTACAGGGAAAATTAACATTCAGTTAATTTCATTTGTATGTCAGTGATTTGACTATTAAAATGGTAAGCCAGATAAAAAAGTCCCAACTAGGGCCTTTGGGCTATCAGCCCCGAAATTCTCAAAGACTTTATTTGTGATATAGAAAAAAGAAATCCATTCTAAAACATTCTAACCAGAGGATCAACTTTGAACTGTTTGCTGTGTATCTGAACATGAACCTTGGAGAGTCTGTCACTGGTTCTGTAAGGATTGTTGGGTTCAGTGTATAAGGTGAAAGTACAAGCATTCATAACAGACCACAAGTAACCTGTCAGCAGTCTGAATACAGTGCAAACCAGGGGCGGATCAAGAGATATTTTCTGACAGTCTTCCAAATTATTTTTGTTAATCCATCCTCCATTTTTGACCGTCTTCCGACAGAAAATATTAGATACCCATCAATGTAAACTTTAAAATCTGACCGTCTTCCGGAAGACCCAGAAGACGGCCTAAATCCGCCCCTGCAAACCTACCCTGAAAGTAGAGGAGCTGAAACCCCCAGTCCAGATCAGGTTACTCAACTCCAGGTTATATATTTCTAAAGTAAGATGCAGGTATCTGTAAAGCAGGGACATGTGTGGGGTGGGGGTCTCTGTGATCTGGTTGTTTGGTTACATCAGGAAGACCTTGACCAGTTCAGGTTTATGCACAGCAAAAGGGTGGAGGAGGGCTCTTTCTGTAAAAATATGGTCTTTTAACTCCCAGCTGGCCCAACTAAGTAATGACACAAAGTCCAGATCAAATTGTGGTTCAGATCTGACCTCTTCCAGCCAAAACGGTGGTTTTAATCCCCCCCCCCCCCCCCAACTGTGATCTTCCACATCTGTATGGCTCTTCTATACTAAATATGTATTACATAAACATCTGTTATGTCTGATAGTGCATCCTGGTGAATGGATGTTTTTTAAGTTGCATAATGACATGCATCTGATGCTAATGGTGATTAACACATGTTCATTTTATTACAAGGTGCTTCACTTTATTTTACTTTGTAGATCAGGGGCTTAGGTTACAGGACGCCTCCGTAACACTTAACATTGCTTTCTTCTGATTCAGTTCAGTTGTTCCTCGCTTGTTATCTTCTTTGTAACTTTTCTGTGTTTGAATTTATAATTACAGTAGTTACTTTGAGTTTTCAAAAAAAACTCATTTAATCTAAAATTTAAAGTCACAAAAGTGAACCTTCTGAAATAAAATCATCTCACTTTTCTAACTTTTGAATCAGTTTTTTTTTCTGTTTAACAAAATTATTTGAGGATATAATTTTTAAAAAATGTTTAAATTTGATTGCTGACACCAAGTACTGACATCAACCTGTGTAATAGATATCTCCCTGTAGTATGTTAGGTAATTAGTAAACCAGGTTTCAGTGTGAATAGTTGAGAAACTCTTTGAGGTGAGAGAATCAGCAGGATCTAAAACTGATACATGACCAGACATAAGATACTTGATAGGATGCTATTTTAGAGGAGAAAAACACCTGAAATAGATCGTTATATATGATAGTTTCCCACAATGCCTTGTGAGCTTACGCTTTTTTGGAATAGCACAAAGCACAGTAGCATATATATATAAATAAATTCTATGTATGTCTACTCCACCTTTTTTTTTTATTAATTGCTTTACCTTGTGGTGAATGATCCTCTGTTAGGTACACCTGGTGTTAAGATCAGCGAATAATTTGGTCGTAGGTGCATATTGGGCAGCTAAATATAAGATAATTAACTAGTTATTCCATAAAAAATTAACAGCATACTGGAAGAGCTTCACTATTGAAACTTCTATTTTTTAAATAAACGTATTTGGTGGTTAAATTTTCAAGTTTTAATTATAACCTTTAATTAAAAGAAAAAAAATTCCCATCTTTTTTTTTTCATTTTATTTTTTGGCAAAATATATTATAAGCACTGAATAATGTTGAGGTTATAAGCAAATCCAGCCTGTAGTCAGCAATTTTAAAGGTAGTTCTTTTTCTGAAAATAGAAACCTTTTTACCCCCTTAGTTTGGTTAACTTTAGTAGTGGCTCAGGACCTAGATCAAGTTTTGAGACGTTTTCCTGGCAAAATGGCAGTTTTATTCTAACTCACTGATCCCCCTTA